AATTGTCCTTAGTATCAATCTAATCAATTCTTTCGCATGTTATTAGAGTTAAGCCTATATAAAGCATTAAAAACAGATAACTTCATTCATGATATAAAGGAAAATTAACACAGCGAATTGTTCAAAACATAATAAATCGACTAAAATCCATCTAACCCTAACTACTTAAAGAACTAGCCGGACATAGCAAAATCAAGAACAAAAGAAAATAGAAAAGCTCCGCCAAACTCCATAGGTGATTGGTGGATCTTCAATATCTCCAGTGAACACTTGACGTTGATCCGTCTCCGCCGCTCACGAACATGAATCTGATGTTCCTCCGCGTTCCTTCAGCCTCCAAGCACCCAAGAGTTGTTTAGCAATGTAAAAGTTATGTATTTCTGGTCCCCAATGGTGTTTAAATAGGTCAAGAGTTCGTATTGCAGTAGAAAACTTGAATGGGCCTAAGTTGGACTTGTCTGGGCGCTTAAGCTTGTGAATGGGGGCTTAAGCTCCCACTTCTAACAACTTGATAAGATCTTCAATCTTATTGTTTTCACCTTGATTCATCTTCTTTTCTGATTTGATCTCTCTTTATCTAAATCTTCATATTTGAATCATTTGTTATCAAATCCCTTTAAAAATAACAAATATATTAATTAGTTCCAACAATCAGATAATGTTCATGATTATCATTTTAAAACCCTAATTTTTGACTTGTTCAACTAGATAATTCATATTATTTTAGTCCATTAAACAAGATAAACTAAAGGTTTATCAAACAATTCCCAGATTTGAACATTGCTGTCCTCAGCAATTAATTAGAATAAAACTATGGGAAAGTTTGGAGACGGCTAGTCATGCTTGATGAATAACAGGCAGAAAACTGATCAATAATGAGATATCAAAGTATTCAGACTTATTAAAAATCAATGACACATCAATTTCAAGCAAACAGTCATAATTCACCAGTCATAAAATCATAACATGCGTTCTCAAAAGAAAGAGTAGTACAATTTAATTTCCACAACACCCTCTCACTGGATTTTTATTTATTCACTCACATTCAGTGTTTAAGGGTATGTGTTTCACTCTTACTTCACTAAATTAACACTACCATAAGCTTGTTTATATTCTCACTCTCCACAGTCTTACTAGTATACAAAGTCAATCAAGAGGTCTTTGTTAAGGTTGTAACGTGGCTTAGGTAAAAGGAAAGGAATCATCTGGGTAAGTGGCTTAAGATAACTGATCAAAATTCAACTTCAAAGAGGAACTAGTTTAACTGTTCAACATATAGTAAACAGATTTCTCTTATTTTCCTCCTCTTTTCTTCTTCCACTTATTCATATAATATAAGTCTTTTATTTCTTTTCCTTCTTCCTTTTGTTTTTCTTTTTCTGTTTTTGTACAGATAAACAGTTCAACCTTTTTCTTTTCATTTCCTTTTTCCACCACTTTGTGGCAATTTCCCTCTTTTCACCTTTTTCTCCCATACACTTAGAGTTTGATTTTCTCTTTTTGTTTCAATCCTATCCAGTTCCTCATTTAATTTTGAAAATTAATCAGTTCAGGTGAGGATGTGTATGGAATGGCTATTCATAATGTACTGTCAATGAACAAACAGGCCTCGGCTCAAAAGGGCTTAATCTAAGAATAAACCTTCAGGGTGGCTATTTGGCTATCTAGCTTTTAAAAAGAACTGCCTCTATCATTTCAACAATTGTATACTACAGACCATTTCAAAGAGAAACAAAACAAGTTCTAGAGTGATTCAACAGTAAAGTTCACACCACAAAAAAAAATTCTGTTTAGGCTCAAAAGCTTACGGCTAAGGATGTGAGACTTATTTTTCCACTCTCTCTTTGATTACTCTAGTTATTCTTCTCTTATTCCAGTGAACTATGAAGCATGCTTGACTGACGCTCATTTATGTACGAAAATAAAATTTATTTACATCATTATACTCTTGATATCAACTATCAACCAATTTCATGTAATTATTCATTATGCATCCATATCAAGCACAATGGAAAATCTCTTAAGATCCACTAATTATTTATTGACTAAGATGGAAGGGGTCTTAAAAATAATTTAAAAAAAAACTTAAATATTAAACTAACTAATATATATGAAGACCTTAAAATAAACTAATACTAAATCAAAATAATATATTTAAAATCATATAATATGAAAATAATATTGAGAAACTCCCCTGAAAAACTGCATTTGTAATTTGGATATTTCTGTGTACTCCGTGTAATCAAGAGTTTCTTCTTCCGACCATGTGAAGTTTATGGTCTGATGAATTGCATGGTACCCATCCCCAGATTTAAATCTTGTTGTCCTCAGCAATAAACTTAAATCTAAAAGAATCCTAAGCAAGAAATCAGAAAAATTTGATACTGTACTCTGCACACATGTCACAGATAAAGAAACTACGTCAGCATGTCATATCCAAAAAAAAATCATAGTCACGTCAAGATCAGTCTCAATATACATCTCATATCAACATGAACTAAAATCAACAAAAGAAAAAAAATCTAAACATTGAGACAATGGTCAATCCTCATCAATTTCAGTAGTGGGTGCAATATCATTTCTATCAGCATCCTGTGTAGTGTCTGCAACCATATCAGCATTAGTATTCGAGTATCCAACATGTTTGCAAAGTTAGTGCAATTTCCACATAACAATTCCCAGATTTATATTCAGATGCATCTGAAAATAATAATGAGTATATGGAACTGAAATACTTTAACAGTATGCATAATGTCAAAGATGAGCGCGCTTAAGCGCAGTGATTCGCGCTTAAGCGCGCTGAGGCAGTGAGAAATGGGATAAAATTTTATTTAACGCGCTTAAGCGCGCTAGGGCCGAGAGAAATTTCACTTTTTTGGGGGCTTAAGCCTCCTTTAAGGGCTTAAGCTCTCAATACTTAGAAAATTTTCTCCATATTTTCCTATTCCTTGCATTCATCTCTACTGTGTATTCTTCCACCTCAATAATTCTGCTCAATATCATACACAAAACATATAAATGAATAAGAGTTGCGTACCTGTGTATGCTTTAATCCCACTTACACCTGAAAGTCCATCTCAACAGAATTTGATCATTAACCTCAATGTTTTTATTTTTTTTATTTTTATGATATGACTAAAATAAACTATGCTAAGAATAATTAAAATAAGCTAAACTAAATTTAAAATACTATACTAAAATGTTGGAAAATAAAAAATATAGTTGGGTTGCCTCCCACAAGCGCTTGTTTTACGTCACGAGCCTGACGTACCTCTTTTATGTTCATGGTGGTTCAAAGCATGGGCTTGGTGATGACCAAGCTCTATCATTCAGAAATGGTGTCCTCCCATAGTACTCTTGTGCATATGAGTGAGATGAAGTAGGCTCAATAGCTTTGAATTTTGTGTTTACGTGTTTTCCCTTGCTCCTGAGCTTCTCCATTTTAACCTTTGGCTTACTTTCTTGAGAAGAATTCTCTTTGTGCTCTTCTTCTCCTTTCTTTTCACTAATATAGTAGACTTGATCTTCCGGTTGAATTATAGGTGAGGGAACTTCTTTATCAAAGAACTTGAAAATTGCTTGCTCCCCGTCTACCCGTAAGATCAACTCGCCTTTCGGTACATCAATCAGCGCTCCTGAGGTTGCCAAGAAAGGTCTTCCGAAGATCATAGGAATAGTAGAATTTTCCTCTATATCAAGGATGACAAAATCAACAGGAATGATGAATTTGTCAACCTTTACCAGTATGTCCTCAATAATGCCATAAGCTTGCTTTGTAGAGCGGTCAGCCAGTTGAACTATTGTCTTGGTTGGCCTTACTTCAGATCCCCAGTTTCTTCATCATAAATAGTGGCATCACGTTGATGCTGGCACCGAGATCACATAGAACATTTTTCACTTCCATATTGCCTATGTTGCATGGAATGCTAAATCTTCCTGGATCTTTAAGCTTTGGAGGCAACTTTTTCTGGATAATGGCACTGCATTCCTCTGTCAGCGTCACTGTCTCACATTCTTGTAGCTTACGCTTTCGTGATAGAAGATCTTTCATGAACTTTGCGTAATTGGGCATGTTCTCCAAGGCTTCAGTAAACGGGATATTGATTTGCAGCTTCTTGAAAATGTCAAGGAACTTGGAATACTGCTGCTTTTTGATTTCCTCTCTGAACCTCTGCGGATATGGAATCTTTGCATAAGGTGAGAGCTCCAATGGCTTTTCTTGCCTTTCTTGAGCTTTCTTTTTCTCCCATTTGAACTCTTTCTTTTCAGGAACAGTTTTCTCTGCAGCAAATTCTTTGGCAACTTCCTTTTCTTTTTCCTTTTCAGTTGCAAGTTCATCATCTTTCTTTTTCTCAACTGAAGGCTTTACCACAGGTTCAATGGCTTTCTCACTCATAGTAGTAATCACATTGCAGTGTTCCCTACTTGGATTTGGAATAATGTTACCTGGAAAAGTTCCTTGAACTCTTTCAGTGAACTGCTTTGATAGCTGTCCAATCTGAGTTTCAAGATTCCGGATAGAAGCTTCTTGATTCCGGAATGAGGCCTTTGTCTCTTGCATAAAGGCTGAAGTGTCTTCTCTGAAATTATTGGAACTTTGAATGTAGTCTGATGTGGTCTTGGATAGTTGTGCAAAGGCCTTTTCCCATTCTGATTGTTGAGGAGGTTGCTGTTGCACTGGCATAGGAGGATTCAGCTGATGGTTCGAACTGTAACTAAATCCCGGGTGTTGATTTTGATTTTTATTTCTCCACCCTTGATTTTGATTATTGCCGTATTGGTTCCTCCCTGGATTATATGGAGCTTTTTGATCATGCCAAATTCCATTAACATCTGCAGTTTCGGGTGCCTGGCAGTCTTCGGTAGCATGAGTACCTGCACAAATATCACAAATGATAGCAAGAGTATTAACAGAAGAAACTTGAAATTCAGAAAATTGTTTTGCGAGAGCATCTAGCTGTTGTTGCTGTTTCTTATTGGATTGTAAAATCTGCTCATTCTGAGCCAAGATGGCATCACAACCATCAAGCTTCATTATCCCCGCTCTTCTCTGTGGTACCGGAGCATTATCGTACTCTTGAGAGGCTAGAGATTCTAGCAATTCTAAAGCTTCCTCTGGAGTTTTTGTTTTTAAGGACCCTCCTGATGCAGCATTCACCAATGTCCTTGTGTTGGGCGTCATCCCTTGGAAGAAAGTTCTCGCTTGTTCCCATGCTTCACTGCCATGTTGGGGACACTTCCTGAGTAGTCCTTTGAATCTTTCCCATGCTTCATGTAGAGATTCACTTCCTTTTTGTTCAAAAGAAGTGATATCCGCCTTGAGCTTTGCCATTTTCGAAGATGAGAAAATTTTTTCTAAAAATTTGGTGGCCAAATCGTCCCAATGGGTGATGCTCCCTTGAGGTAGTGATTGCAACCAGACTCTTGCTTCTTCTTTAAGTGAACAAGGGAACAATCTGAGCAAAATAGTATCCCGAGACACCCCATTCATCTTCAAGGTATCACAGTATAGCAAGAAGTTTTCCAGATTGATGTAAGGGTCTTCCGTGCTTCCTCCGGCAAATTGGTCTTTCTGAATTAATTGTAAAAGTGTCGGCTTGAGTTCGAAGTTGTTAGCATCCACGTTTGGTCTAACAATACTCGCCGTCTGTGGAAATCGAGTAGGAGTCATGTAATCTCCCAACGTTCTCGGAGGTGGCGGAGGTGCATTGTTGTCTCCCATTGCTTCTTCTCTTGGTTCTGTTGAGCTTGAAGCTTCTTTCTCTTGCTGTCTTCTTTCTTTAGCAAGTTTTCTGTTTCTTTTTGTTGTTTTCTCTATCTCCGGGTCGAATTGCAAGGAATCGGTGTCAACGGTACCTCGCATAAACCAGAAAAATAGATTATATAAAAATAAGAAAATAAAACTGAATTTAAATAACAGAAAATTAAATAACAGAAAATAAGGTCCAATCTAAAGAATTAATAGCTACTATTAATGTTGAAATAGTAATCCCCGGCAACGGCGCCAAAAACTTGTTGCTACTCACGGCAAGTGCACCGATCGTACAAGTAATATACTGATTAAGTAAGAGATCGTTCCCACGAGGATTACGGTTCACGCACTAATTCACTATCGCAAACTTAGTTGGACAATCGAAGTTGTCTTCGGAAACAGGATTTGAATTGCAAAATTAAAATATTAAATATTAAAGCTAATTACTTGCAAGAATTAAAGACAAGAAATTAAAGATGTGATTTAACTAATAAAATAAAAACGTAGCTAGGGGTTCGATTTCATTTAATCTCCTTATTACGTTTGAATTCCTTCTTAATGTTAATTGTCCTTAGTATCAATCTAATCAATTCTTTCGCATGTTATTAGAGCTCAATCCCTTGTTACTCTAAAACCTTTACAATATTGGAAGAACCCTAGTTCCCCGGTTATTCCCCAAGCATGCAAGCATTAAGTTCAAGAATCTTAAAGATTACGCAAACCCTATGTCTATCCCTAGAATCATAACGTTTACGATGAAGTTATCAGATATGGATCACACACCAACATTCCTATTGTCATGCATTCACCGATGATCATTATATAAGATTCGAGCCTATATAAAGCATTAAAAACAGATAACTTCATTCATGATATAAAGGAAAATTAACACAGCGAATTGTTCAAAACATAATAAATCGACTAAAATCCATCTAACCCTAACTACTTAAAGAACTAGCCGGACATAGCAAAATCAAGAACAAAAGAAAATAGAAAAGCTCCCCCAAACTCCATAGATAATTGGTGGATCTTCAATATCTCCAGTGAACACTTGACGTTGATCCGTCTCCGCCGCTTACGAACATGAATCTGATGTTTCTCCGCGTTCCTTCAGCCTCCAAGCACCCAAGAGTTGTTTAGCAATGTAAAAGTTATGTATTTCTGGTCCCCAATGGTGTTTAAATAGGTCAAGAGTTCGTATTGCAGTAGAAAACTTGAATGGGCCTAAGTTGGACTTGTCTGGGCGCTTAAGCTTGTGAATGGGGGCTTAAGCTCCCACTTCTAACAACTTGATAAGATCTTCAATCTTATTGTTTTCACCTTGATTTATCTTCTTTTCTGATTTGAACTCTCTTTATCTAAATCTTCATATTTGAATCATTTGTTATCAAATCCCTTTAAAAATAACAAATATATTAATTAGTTTCAACAATCAGATAATGTTCATGATTATCATTTTAAAACCCTAATTTTTGACTTGTTCAACTAGATAATTCATATTATTTTAGTCCATTAAACAAGATAAACTAAAGGTTTATCAATAACCCAAATCGAATTATAACCAGCCTGAGTCCGAGGCAAATCAACCACAAAATTCATAGAGATGCTCTCCCATATTCACTATTGTATATCAAGCGGTTGAAGTAAACCAGCAGGTTTCTGATGCTCAATTTTAACTTTTTGGCAAATCAAAATCCTAGACTCATACTCCGCAATATCCTTTTTCATCCCAAGCCACTAGAATTTTATTTTCAAGTCTTGATACATTTTCGTCGCACTTGGATGAATCGTATGCTGACCCTTGTGGGCTTCAGTCATGACCCGGATATAAAAGGTAGGCATAATATTCTATCTATATATGTGAAATAAGATATTATTTATATCTGTTGCGATGCACAGATCGTACAAGTAATAAAGTGAAAAGGAAAGTACTATTTCCACGAGGATTGATCTATCAAGCACTAATTTCATTAAGCAATCAAAGTTAGTTCAATCGTAAACGTTTTTGTGAATGTGATTGAAATATAAAAACAGATTCAAAGACTACCAAATAATTATCAAGAACAAGAACATGAACTCAAATTAAAAATAGGAATAAAGATTAATGATGCAAAAGTGTAGCTAAGATTTTGATTTTCCCAATTTTCTCCTAATCAATCTAACATTTCCCTCAATTAATATCCAAACTCATGTTGTTGAATAGTTCATCACATATTAATTAAAATTCAACCATAGTATTTTAATTCTTTGACCTATTAAGAATCCTAATCCCTTAGTAATTCCGCTTAGGGCAAGCATTAAGAATGATGAACAAACAAATCATATGCTCTATTAGTCTATCCCTAAATCAAACAAAACCTAGCAATTATACAGATCAGAATTTCATTCCAACATCACTATTGTCATGCAAAACTCAAGTATCCCTTTATGAGTGATTAATTAACAAATGAATTAAGAATGAAAAGCAGAAAATAACATAACATGAAATATTGAATATTAAATTGAAAAGGAAAAAAGTAAATGTAATCAAGATTCAAAAGGTTCCATCTCGCTCTAATTACAAAAGGGTTTCGCCAGACATTGCAAATAAACTAAAAACAAGAAATGAGATAAAACTAGTGAAAACCATGAAGGGAGGTTGAAGATCCATCTCCACAGTGAAGCTTTGACTAATCTTCAACTCCTCAAACCAAGAACAGAGCTTTTCCTCTCTTTTGGTCGTAGAAAATTGAATGCCTTTTGCCTATTTTCTTTCCCATTTGAATAAAAACATTCATGGGCTTTTTACTATGATGCTCGTTGAGTTGCTTACTCTGCTATTGGAAAATGCGTGCTTTTGTTGTCATGCTCGCTAAGTTTGCTGGATAGAGCGAGCAAAATAGCGAAGAAATACGTGACAATAGCCTCTCTAATGTTTGCTTGCAGAGTTTTCTCGCTAGAGCGAGCAACTCAGCAAGCAGCTGCAAGAAATAACAACTTGTAGGATTTGCTCGCTCAAGCGAGCATAACTGGGCGAGAATTTTGTCTTCCTCTGGCTTACTTAATCCATCAATGCTCCATCATAGCAATTTTAAGTCAGTATTGTAGCAAACATGAAAACTTCAAAGTCTTTTGCAATTAAATAAAAGTCACCATATCTTTGACCATATTTAACAATATTGAGCACAATTCACTCCAAAAAAAAATGTTTGGCACTTAACACTACCTCTAGGAATGTGCATGGGTGGAACCGAATCAGTTTTTTTGAAAAACCGAACCGAATTGGTTTAAGTGGTTCTGTTCGAAAGTGGTTCGGTTCGGTTCAAAACTGGTTCGGTTCGGAAGTGGTTCGGTTCGGTTCGGAACCGGTTCGGGTCGACCCTCCTTTGAAAAGAAAAAAAATTAAAAAATTAAAAAAGAAAGTTATAAAAATCAATTCGGTTCGGTTTGAAAACGGTTCGGTTCGGTTTGTAAACGGTTCGGTTCGGTTTGTAAACGGTTCGGTTCAGTTCAAAAAGGTTTGGTTCTTAAACTGGCTCTAAAAATCGGTTCGGTTCATGAACTGGTTCTTTAAAAACCGGTTTGGTTCATGAACTGGTTTTTAAAAACCGGTTATTTTAAGGGCGGTTCCATTCAGTTCATGGTTCGGTTCAGTTTTTTGGTTATTTTGCACACCCCTAACTACCTCTTTTTCATATTTATTTTACTTACTTTTCTTCACACCATCAAATAATAATTTCAGCCGATTTTTTTTTTCTCTTCCATTAATACTTAAGATTATGATCTAAAGGCATGAAGATAAGTAAGCAGAGTTGGCATACAAAAATATAGACATAATATCCTTTCATTCTTATATATATATATATGGTTTATTGTTTGTCCTATCACAGGATATAAGATTTTGTCCTGTCACCCATATATAACCATATATATAGTTATAATATTAAAGTGGTTTTTTTTCTCTCTTCAGAAACGTGTCGGCTGAAGTGGAGGGAGAGAAAAAAATAATTTTAATATTATAACTATGTACAGGGAGTACATAGTTATAAGGAGTGACTGGTCAAAATCTTATATCCTATGACAAGAAACCCGATGAACCCAATATATATATATATATATATATATATATATATATATATATATGTAACACCCCGTATATATCCGGTAATGTTATCATACTATCATATTAAGCAGCCCTTAATTAAAAATGCGGAATATCTTTTTATCTTCAATTATGATGTCATTATCATTACCAACTTGTTTATTAATCAATTAATAAAATATCGCTTGTATGTAATTGCAATAAAATAGCTATCTGAAAATACCTCATAACATAGATAATAAAAGTGTGGCTCTAGTCACGGAACTACAACAACGTAGACCGGACCATCTAACAGTTTATACAACTCCAAATCAAAAGCACTAACATAAAGTGTCATGGACAATCCCCA